AAATTTTAATTAATTATTTAAATATTTTATAATATTTTTATTAACTAGTGGAACTTGAGCACGCATATATGTAGAGGGAGAGTCTACGAAGGCGAGGAAATTTTCCACCCAAAGTACAGACACACGTGTTGATACTGTGGTCGGTTATGGCAATTGTTGGTAGTGGTATTATGTAAATATATTATATTTGTTCGAGTAATTTTTAATTATATTTAATTTATTTTGAATTGTAAGAATAATTTATAAAAAAATAAATAATTTTATTAAATTTAATCTAAACTAAATTTTTAACAGAAATAATATATGTTAATTTGATATATTTATATCGTAGTTATTAATTTTTAATAATTTTAATATTGTAATTATTATACCAATATATACCGAAAATAATAAGATATATGAAACTAAAATCTCAAAAATAACGAAACATATTCTCTACATTTTTTGAGAAACTATAATTTATAATTATGTAAAAATTTGAATGTAGTTACTATATTATATTTTTATGAGATGAAAAGATATATAAGAAATACTTTCAAAAAATAAATATATGAATATAAATATTATTAATAAGACGATAGTTTATTAGTTTTAACTCTTTATTAAAAATATAAGTTTAAATTTTATTAAAAATATAAAATTTATTATTTTATTATTATGAGTATATTATGAATTTGTGATGATAAATTTATAATATTTAATTTAATAAAATTAAAAATATAATTTATTAGTGTATTAATAATATCGTGATAATTAAATTAAATTAAATATTAACAATTTTATTGTATATTTAAATAAAATTTAAAATAACTTTAATCAGTCACAATACACTAAAAAATAGTAACAATACTTTATTTCATAAATATATATATATATATATGTATGTTAAACTAATGGTGACCTGAGTTATCTCTTAATATACACTCGTTATCTATCAGCCTCTCGGTCTGTGAGCCAACCCTTACCATACATCTATACTTACAAAGCGAGTACAACATTGAAGTTGCCAGCGAAAACAGGTAGAGTTACTCTATTTCTCTGATCTGTGTCAAGAGGCGTAGCTATATATACATATATATATATATATAAAGTTGAGGTGACGATCGACGGATGGATAGGAAGCAACTGGTGGTGCGAGGGGCTACAGCGGTGGCTGTGGTATTCGTGGCTGTCGTTTTAGCACCTTTCGTTTATACAGCCCCCAAAATAAAAGGTTCACGCGACGTTCTACACGCCTCTAAAGTTCTTGATCTCTCCACCGTCGGAGCTGTCGCCGGAGAAGGTCTCGATTTTGACCCAAAAGGAGAAGGTCCCTACACCGGTGTTGCCGATGGCCGGATCCTCAAGTGGGAAGGTGACTCCCTTGGCTGGACAGAGTTTGCCATCGTCTCTCCTCACAGGTACACACACACACACATATGTATATATGTATATTAGTCATGAGCCTCAGTTTAGCTCAAATGGTTATTGACAGGCTCTTAAATTTTCTTTAATAATCATCTGAGTCCCATGTGTATATCCTTAAGTTGAGTATGAAAAGTGATCAAGACTGTATTAGGGTTAATTCCGTGAGTTAATTAATTTATACAAAATTTTTGTTTCAGATTTCTTGTAGTAAGAACAAGCAATTAGGAGTAACACATACACAAACTTGATTATACGTATAGAGTATTTTATAGTTTATTTATTAAAAAAGATATTTATTTTTTAAAAAATATTTAATATATCTCTATATTTACTATATATGAATTTATCAAAATAAATGTTTTTTTTTTAACTCATGAAATAAGAATTTAATTATATTATTATTAGTATGCAGGTATATAACTTAATTAAAATTTATAAGTTTATTATTAAAAAAAAGAATATAATAAATAGGTAGGTTGAATAATTTGAACTTACACAATAAATTAGGTATTCTTTCATATAGATTATAGGAATATTAATTTTCTTTTTCACTATTTTATGTTTTTAAATTTGATAAAATATAATTATAATTAAAAAATTAAAAAAAAAATCTTAATAGTGGTGGAGTCCAGGCTCCACTTACGACATTATTTATTAAAAACAAGACATAAAGCAAAAAATGGACCTACACTTCTTTTCACACTACTTTATATACCCTCTTGACAAAAATAATAATAATAATAATACATATATACATAAGTATATATATTAAGCATTTTAGATTATAAATTTATATATAAATACAATTGATACATTTAAAATGTTATTTTTTTATAATTTTTTTAAAAAATTAAAACAAATATTTTATATTTACATAATCTGTAAACTGATCTCAACCTTTTTTTTTTTTTTTTCTGATAAACTTTCTCTTGCTTTCTGAAGCTTTTTCAATTCATGGCATCACGACAAATTTAAATTATTATCCTTGTTGCGTCTGTAGTGAAATATGTTATCCGATTTAAGATTCTGTTCTGTGTGTCTCTAATATATGTATTTATATGAAAGATTGATTAAAGAATGTTGTAATTGATGAACTAAAACCAAACTAGGAAGAGTTGCACCCGTCCATCATTTCCACCATTGGAGCACATATGTGGGAGGCCATTAGGCGTACTGTTTGAAAAGAAGAGTGGAGATTTATACATCAATGATTGTTACTTTGGACTCATGGTGGTCGGCCCCGAAGGAGGCCTCGCCAAACAACTTGCCATTGAAGCCGATGGTCTTCGTTTCGATTTCACCAACCATATGGACATTGACGAAGTTGACGATGTCATCTACTTCACTGACAGTAGCAAATTTTACCACATCAGGTACGTCTTTCTCTCTCTCTCTATATATATATATATACATTCGTTAATTTTATGATGTTATACATCTGGGTTTTATGTACGTATAATATTTCAGGACATACATGGATCTGATCATGAGCGGGGACAAAACTGGGAGACTGATTAAATACGACAAGAAAACTGGTGAAACAACAGTGTTACTAAAGGGTCTTGGATTTCCAAACGGCGTCGCATTAAGCAAAGATCGATCCTTTGTTATAGTGGCTGAGTCAACAAGTTTTAGGGTTTTAAGGTACTGGCTTCGAGGTCCAAAAGCAGGGAAGCATGAATTGTTTGCTAATCTTCCTGGTAGTCCAGACAATATAAGAAGAAATGAAAATGGTGAATTCTGGGTGGCTATGTATACCAGAAAAACTCTGTTTGCTTACATGAGTTTTACTTATCCATGGTTTGGAAATACCATGCTTAAGTTACTCAAGTTTGATCAGATAAACTCACTGTTAATCGGAGGAACTCCCCATGGACTTGCTGCGAAACTCGGTGAGAGTGGAGAGATTCTTGAGGTTTTGGAAGATATTAAAGGGAAAACGGTGTCGTTTATCAGTGAAGTTCTGGAGAGAGATGGGAAGCTCTGGATGGGGTCTATAACTACACCTTATATTGGCATTTACGATTACCATAACTGATCGTCTAGTGCTTCGTTCTTCATCCCATATACATACATACATATATATACATGTATGTATGTATGTATCTATGTTATTTGCTTTCTATCGGATTATCTTGTGATCAATCTCCACTGGTGTTGTATTCATGTGAATTGTGTTTTGGGATTTCCATGACATGTCTGGATAAGGTGTTTTCTGAGACAACCTACTTCAATAAGATGTCTTGTCGTTTTAGAATGAATATATATATATATATATATATATGTAGGTATGTACCCGCGAACATTATGTGTGTTTTGGAGTTGAATTTTGAAGTTCTTGATATGAAATTTGTTATGAGTCGTCATAAAATGTTGGGCTGCTGCGTTGTGCTTTATCGGGTGAGATGGAATTAAGTGAAGCGGGTCGGGTTATTTGATTTTATATAATGGGCTATTTTATAAATATATGCTGAAACAAGTTGGGCTTTCAAATGGATTTTATTTAAACTAATATATGCATCAAAGAAAATGTATTCCACAAGGCGGGGAACCAGTTCACCACCGTATGACTGACCGATAATTACTAGTGATTCCAGCTTCACGTAGTCAAGTTGCAGCCTGCTATCCGAACTGAGGATGGGTTTTTGGTTTATTCAATCACATAATTTGCGCTCCTAAAATATAGTGTCCGCGGAACTTTCTGTTTAATTATATCGAAAGACTCAATGAATTGGGATTTCCCTATTGGATCATGTCATTTTGGGGCAAGTGGATCATCTAATCTTTCAATGGCATGTTTCCGTCCTCTTTCCCATTACGTAGAAAAAGTAAGCCACCGGATCAGGTACAAAGTACTATCATTACTACTTGAACAAGTAGACATCAAATCCGTAATCGTAACGACCCAATTGAACATAATTTTATTTTTTTTAAGATTAAGATACTATCATCGCGCTTAATTGTTTTAAGGGATTTCAAAAGAAAT